GGTGGACGTCTGGTCTCCAGTGTCATCGAGCGTAAGGGCTACCATCTGTTAGACGGATCGCTTCCCCTGCCCGAAGCTTGGATGGAGTGCTTGGAGGAGGGAGAGGCCTGCGGGCCCGTGGGTGATGGATTATTTCTCGCTGAAACCCTCAGATCTTCCCGAGTGGCCGCTGCAGAGCAGGGGACAATGACGACATGAACTGCCCACGAGCAGCGTATTAACATGCTGGAGCATGTAACGCAGTGCCCGTGCCTATCATCAGAGGACAGAAAACCACCGTATCCAGAAATGCACAGTTGGAGCACCATCCTGAAAAGGATGTGCTGCACGACTGTGTTGCTCTCTTTGTGAAGTTTGCAACTTTATACGCACCGCTCTGGAGGACCGGACCCAAAGAACGCCAGGCAAGGGAGAAACCCAGCTCGACCGTCTGCCGCTGCATGTACACACTCTGGACCGGGAGAATGCTCTCATTCGCTCGGAATCGCTGGAGCACAGCAGGAGGAACCCTCATCGATTCGATCAGAAAGTCTCTGAAGCGAAAAGGATGGCGTCTGCTTGCTCCACGTGTGCTTATATGCTGGGTTAATTGGCAATGAAGCACACCTGCGCAAGCTTACGCTGCCAATTCATTGGCATTCATTGGCCCGTTCAATACTCTTTCAGACAAGCGGCTTCTGAACCGAATCCTCCCATTCGTGGATTTCTAAATTCAAATCCACTAATAGCATTGGAGTTCCCCACTCGAAAGGGAACTATACATTTCCCGCTAACATTTAAGTGCTGTTAAGTGTGTTCTTAAGCAGCACTAATTTGCCATGGTATTCACCAGTGCTCAACACAGATGAATGTGATTGGCCGTGAAGGTCATCAGTTCACTGCACTTCACCAATCCCACATAGCAAAATTTCTCTGGCCCAGCTCTGGCCCACACAATCAGGTTTTGCTTGGCCCACATGCCACAGTGAATTACGGTACATGACTGGACCAAATCTGGCTTCCAGACAAGGGCCAAACACGGACCATATCTGGGCCAAGTCTCAGCCAAGTTAATAACTCATAACTGGGCCTGAACTGGGCCAGATAGGTTGGTGTGTCACGATTGCAATGAAATTGATAAAACCATGGAGTGATGCGCTTTAGGCACACTATGGGCACGCTTTTTCTCAGGTGACCTGATTGGTAGAATTTTTTTTTTTTTACTCAAAAATGATTTTAGTGTATTTTAAATGTGGGTCAAGACTGGCCAAACTCACATGGCCCACTTTCAAATTTTTAAATCTGGGCCAAATACTACGTTTTTCATCTGGGCCAAATCTTGTGTGCCCCCTTAAAGACGGTGCCACCTTTGCCAAACCCGGGCCATGTTTGGCCCACATGCTGTATGCCAGTGCCGGATGAATGCCTGCTGTGCCAGCTTTATGCCAAATCTGGGCCAGAATTCTTTGCTACTAGGGATGTTTAACGAGTGCAAACACAGACAAGCAATCTGCTGATGACTTGACTGATCTTTGCGGCTTTAAAATGCTCCAATGTCCATGTATCTGTGTTTGCACTTAGTAAACAGCGATGAACTGATGACCTTCACGGCCAATCACAGTCACAAACTAATTCTGGTCCAGATCATGTAAATGAGGACCTACAAACCAGGCTTTATCACAATATATGATTTATAATGTAGCTTCTATATGTGAGTTATTACGTACACTGAATAAATTTAGTAAAGTTTGTTTTACCAATGCCTTTGAATGATTTGCAAGTTATTCTGGAGCAAAAACGATGTGAAAAGCCTAACAAAAAAATTTGGTCCCAAAAACATTCAAAATGATAAACAATGTAATGTCAGCTGCAGAGAAAGCCACCAAAAGTGCATAGAGGTGCTGCCCATTAATTGTGATGAATGACTGATGTGAGTGGAATACAGGAACAGGTGTGCACTGATGAGATGACTGTACATGACAAATTCTGCTCCATATAGAAATCTTGCCTCGTAAAAGCAAATGAACTAGGAACATATTTTAATATTGTAGCAGAACAGAGATTTTTAGCTGTGAAAATGCTAAATGTCTCTTTTTATTTTTGGATCTAGACCAAACAAACCAAGCGAACCGACAACAAGTCTAAAATTGCCTGCCAGGGGGTGTTACTAAAGCTGTGTCTCATTTCAGAGGCTGCATCCTCCAAAGAATGCAGACTTCAAAGGTGAGTCCTTCGAAGTCCACACAAGCTGAACCAAATGTTTTGAAATGAGATGATCTAGCCCACAGAGGATGGATATCGTCACCAGGCAACTGTAACAGCTGCTGTTAATAAGCAGTAATGAATTTTTTTAAAAGTGATTTTATAACAAATTTTAAGCGATCTGAAGGCAAAACAAGGTTTATAAAAGCTGGATATATGTTTCCTTTGATCCATACATGTACAAATAAGCATGTAAACTGTCTATAAAATCACTTATTCATAAGACATGTCATACTCTTTTTGTTTATTTAACATGTGTTTACATAATAAACCTAATTCATACATTTAAATCAGAGTTTACTTTTAAAAATGTCCTGCCGTATCAGCGCGGATCTTGGAACATTTGAGGTCATGAAGGATCACAAAAGGATGCATTTAAAGGCTGCTTTTAAAGGAGCCTTCAATTTTGTTTTTTAGTTGTGACACGATGACGCAGAGCATTTCTAATGCATCCTTCGGAGGATGCAGCCTCTAAAATGAAACTGAAAAAAATGAAATGAAATTTTGCTAACACAACTGCACCTTAAAGTGCCACTGTTATGTTTTTATTTCTCTAAATATTATAATTTTTAAGTGTTTATATCTGCTTGGTAAAATTTAGGTTTGTTCCAAATTAAAGTAATACCAGCTTTTAGCTTCTTGTGATTATTTATACTTGAGGCCTGAAAATGTCAGGCTTACATTTCCGACATGTCCAGAAGATGCTCTTTCATTTACTGCAAAAGTAAATCCACTTTTTATGCATTGCTAAAAGATGAAGACTCAGGCTCTGATACGCTTAAATCGACACCATCATTACTGTTCATATCATTGCAAAAAAAGGAAGCCTCTGGAGCTGAAATTCAGATATGGTAATGAGGGTAATCGGAGCATAGAAGACTCTTTTAGTTCCTTGAAGGAACTTTGTTAAATGACATGTATAAAAAAGGTGATTCTGCAATGTCTATTATGAGAAAATGAAAGTTTTTTTTTTAATTGGATGAATGTAAATGTAAAAGTGTTTACTAATACAGTAGAAAACCTTTAAAATAGCATAAAGGGCACTTTTAGACAGTGGGTGACAATTGACTACTAAAAATTATTCATTCTTAGGAACCTATTTTAAATGATAATGCAGTTTATTTTATGGTACACTGCATAATCTATCTACAATGCAACTTAAAAAATAAAGTGTTACATTTAATTCAATAGGGTATATGCACAGCTAGTGTTTTTTTTTCATACTGATCAATTTCCGGTGAACAGTTAATGTGACTTTTAAAAACTTTTTGTGGTTCCTTTTACAGCATCGATGTTGTAAAGTAATTAAAACACAATCAGATAAATAGACTTCAACATTAGTTGTTTGAGTGTAAAATGAGATGAAAAGGGTTTTACATGCACGCGCCCATCAGGATTAGCAGGCTAGCGTAGAAACTTCATTGAAAGTATTTGGGGTAAAATAAATTTTCATATTTTAAAGACATAATGCGGAAAAATGTAATTAAATGCAGTGCTTCTTGTACATTCTGAAACCCACTTTATATCATATATCAATCAGGCAGTAGAGATTGTTCATTTTTAATGAAAACAGACCTTAAAGGTGCAGTAGAAGATCTGCCTAAATGCTAACTGGTTAGCATAATATATTTCAAATAACAGAGATAACAGAGATCCACTAGATCATGTCATTTGCCAGTAAAAAAAACGGTATAGTACTTAATAATAAAACAATTCTGAATGAAAAACCCATATTATATCTAGCAAGTTTTCAGTTGTAGTTGTAGTTAGCAAGCTAAACTTGTCATAATTCTCTCATGATTCTCACTCATCAGTCTCACTCTCTCACACAATTTGTTCTAAAGCGACTACAGTATGCTTAGTGGTTGGCTGGCGGGCTACATGGATTACACTTACTAAGCCATACTTACATGTTATTTTTGACCGGATATTCAAAGTAGCATGGTTAATAATATACGGAGCGCATCACAGGTTGTCATTGTTCAAAAATGAACCAATATGAAGATAAAACCAACTTCACCTCAGTAAAACAGGCTAGGCGATGCTGTAAATGGTCCCTTATGAAGCTGAAAATAGTCACATCAATCGTTTGCCTAGAGATTTCAGAGGCTGAACAACACCACCATGCAAATCAGCCATTCGTAACAACATCTCCATAAGCTTTGCGTGAATAAAATATTTAAAAAACTTAACATTACCTGTCTTAAAGAAATACTTCAGCCATGGCATTGTCCTTCATCCAGCATGCAAAAGTAATTCCAATATTGATTCAGGATTTTACAAAGTTTTGGTTGAGCATTTGTTTTTAGTGCTGTCACTCATGTTCATGTGATCGCGGCGCAAGTGAACGCGCATCGGCAGGTGCCCAGTTGTTCAAATCTACATTTGCTAAGAGACAGTTTTAGCTATCACAACTATGGGAATCGTTGGCCGGACTATATTTAATTAGATGAACATTTTTTATTCTTATGCCTCACCTAGAATATAAAAATACACATACATACATTTAGATCATTTACTTTAAACAGTACTATTGGAATGTGAAGAGACTTTCAACCAGCACAACAAAACTTATTCTGAACACAATCACCAACAGCACCTTTAAACGTGCTGATTTTGTAACGGCATACTGGCAACTGGAAGCGCTTGACCCAGGTTACTGAAAAGTTTTTCAATTCAGCATATACCCTATTAATACTATAGACAAGCTTTTCACGACAAGCTATTTACAGTGTTTAATAATGTGGACGTTTCATACAAGTTTTTTTTCTGATGTTCTTGAAATTTAGATGTAATCTCCTGCCCTGCAGGATTATCCACATTCTTCATTATCATCAAAGTAATCTGCAAAAACTTTAACAAAACCTTATCAGCAGTCTTTTCTTGCCTTAAAGCAATATATAAAAAAATAAATACAGTTATAAAAAAAATAATAACGAAACTATAAATGAATGAGAACTTCCCCAACATGTAATGAAACTAAAATATATCATAGATACACTACAAAAGTTCTGAAATGAAAATAAGGCAAGATAAAAAATCCTTAAGTGCTTTTTCTCTGCAAAACAGACACCTCATTCCCTGAATCATCCCTTAATCACATACATTTCAACCAATAAAATGGGTAATCAGCACTGGAAAGGGTTTCCATCTATACAGCAAATACCTACTTCATTCAACATTTGTGTGTAAGGAAATACAGGCTGGTTAGAGTGAAAAAAGCCTCTTAATGGCCAGTATTACAGCCTAATCAACAGAACAGGTTGATGAGTGACCGTGACTTCAGCACATGCTCAAATAACTGCGAATACTCTGAATGCCTTTCCTCCCGCTGGGTTCTGTAGGCTAAGAGAGAATACAGAAGTTAAATAAGCAGAGTTTCCTTAAACAGAACTGTGTTCATAATGACTGACATTTGGTGGAAAGCTTGTTTAAATGTATGAAGTATTGAGGCAAATCTGTGGATGAGACGGCTATGTTCATTTCATTCTTGTACACAATGGTAAACTACAATAATTCAAGCTAATTGTGTGCATCATTATTGAGCATACATTCTGAGTGACTAACAAAGTTTACTCTACCATGCTTGGAGTAGAACCACTGGTACGGCTCTACCCTAATCAGCTTTCTTAGTAAAAGGCCTGTGATTTTAAAAGCTTAGGGAGAGACAGGCCGCCCCTTACTCTGCCTTCCACCGAGTGCACATGAGCCAGTTTGGGGATAAAGCCTACCTTTCTGAGACTATGCCATTCTGGTATGAAGAAGTGTACAGCTTCCTGTTGTCTGTGGGCATCACATCGATGTAACCACCTGACTCATTGCTTACAACACCAGCATGGATTGCAGACCTGCATATACTAGATTTCTGAAAATGAATGCAGAAAAATAAGGAAATATTAATTTTTATATTTCTTTTTTTCTAAAAAAGGGCTTGTTATATGGCATATATGGCAATTTATGCAAATTACATACATGACATTCAATTTATATTATATTTGAATTGCACATATATAAGTCATATGTGAAACTCACTGCAAATATTGCCATTTACTTTTTTTCCAACCAATTTCCAACTATATGTTCAATTATTTGAACTATAATGTCTTATATGTATTCATATATGGCAGTATACATACAGTTTGGTCCATAAGTATTGGGACATAGACACAATTCTAATATTTTTGGCTTTATACACAAACACAATGGATTTAAAATGAACAAGATGTGTTTAAACTGCAGACTGTCAGCTTTAATTTGAGTGCATTTACATCCAAATCAGGTGAATATTGTAAGAATTACAACAGTTTGCATATGTGCCTCCCACTTGTTAAGGGACCAAAAGTAATTGGACAATTGGCTTCTAAGCTGTTCCATGGCCAGGTGTGTGTTATTCCCTCATTATTCAAATTACAATAAGCAGATGAAAGGTCCAGATTTCATTTCAAGTGTGCAATTTGCATTTGGAATATGTTACAGTCAACTCTCAAGATGAGATCCAAAGAGCTGTCGCTATCCCTCTAGCAAGCCATTGATAGGCTAAAAAAAGCTAAACAAACCAATCAGAGAAAACATTAGGCATGGCCAAAACAACTGTTTGGAATATTCTTAAAAAGAAAAAACGCACCAGTGAGCTCAGGAACACCAAACGACCTGGAATACCACAGAAAACAACTGTGTTGGATGACCAAAGAATTCTTTCCCTTGTGGAGAAAACACCTTTCACAACAATTGGCCAGATCAAGAACACTCTCCAGGAGGTAGGTGTATGTGTGTCAGCATCAACAATCAAGAGAGGACTACACCAGAGTGAATACAGAGGGTTCACCACAAAATGTAAACTATTGGTGAGCCTTAAAAACAGGAAGGCCAGATTAGAGTTCTAAAAATGCCTTCACACTGCTGGAACAACATCCTCTGGACAGATGAGATTAAGATAAACTTTTACCAGAGTGATGGGAAGAGATGAGTATAGAGAAGGAAAGGAACTGCTCGTGATTCTAAGCAGTGAAGCACAGTGGTAGTAGTAACATTTTGTGGGCATGTATATGGCTGTCAATGGAAGTGTTTCTCCTGTATTTATTGATAATGTGACTGCTGACAAAAGCAGCAGGCTGAATTCTGAAGTGTTTCAGGTATTATTTTTTGCACATATTAAGCCAAATGCTTCTAAATTCATTGGACAGGGCTTTACAGTGCAGAAGGAGAATGACTTAAAGCATACAGCAAAAGCAACTACAGAGTTGTTTAAGGGAAATAATTTACATGTTATGCAATGGACCTGAATCATTTAAGCATGTATTTTACTTTCTGAAGACAAAACTGAAAAAAGAAAATGCCCCAAGAACAAGCAGGAACTAAAGGCAGTTGCTGTAAAGGCCTGGCAGAGCACCACCAGAAATTAAACCCAGCGTATGGTGATGTCTGTGTTTCAGACTAGGCTGCAATTGACTATAAAGGATTTGCAACCAAGTATTAAAGTGAAAATTTGATTATACTGTCCAATTACTTTTGGTCCCTTAACAAGTGAAAGGCACATATTCAAACTTGTTGTAATTTCTACACTGTTTACTCAGTGTACTCTTTACAATGTGAGATGTTATTAATAAAGCAATTTCTTTTTCTTCAACAATGCATTTTGTTTTACATTTAAACTACTCTTAAAAAGCTTTTGAAGAATCTAATAGGCATTTAACTTTTAAAACTGTGCATAGTGACCCTTCTTTCGAGCATTATTCTGCACAAAGTCTGCAATGCTCATCTCAAACACGTACTGAGAATAGTACATTTGGCAAACCTGTCCTGCCTCATTGTGGTCAAATGACTTAATTAAATGAAAAAGTTAAACTGAAATGTATCAGCACAATAAATGATTTTGTCAGTTGAAATAAAATAGACTACTCTTATATTTTGATTGTACGTGCATATGAAAGTAAAACATTATTCAAAACTACTTTTCTTTGACAAAACAATGAGTTCTGGCCTTTTGTTTTGGCTGTGGAATCATGGTAGTGGGCTTTGTCTTGAACGCACTTTATTTAATCTCAAATGTTATTATATATTCTTATTAGTTATTGTGCTGATTACTGGCCAACAAAATCACATTAAACCTAACATGAAGATTAAGTAAAACTCTGCGATGAACGAATCCTTTAAGTTTTAATTTGGAAAGGAAAAACAAAACAGAACAATGCTTACATCTGAATAAATTCTGGTGCCAATGACTCGAGAAAGCTGGGAGTTTTCTTCCAAGCAGTTTCGAGGACAGTAAATCCTTGTGGAAAGACAACACATGTCAGAAAGGTTTACAATGATAACAGTTCTTTCAAATTCAATTGGCAAATAACACTTAAAAACTAGGTTAAGACTAAACACTGACAGCAGATTGAGTTTTACCTTGGACAGTGTCTTGCAGGCTTTTGGTAAGGACACAGCACTGACACTGTAGTGTCACAAGTGATTACTTTCACTGGAATAAAAGAAAGATTATGAAATTAACAGTAAACGTTATGTATTCAATTATTTCAAATTAAAGTAGGTTTATATTGTTGTCAAATACAAAGATTGATACCAAGCACACAAATGAAGCTGAGCAGAACATAGTACCCCAATTTTAATTTTAAAACATGTATTATATAGAACCACACATCATAAGATGTTTCATTAGAAAACGTACCCGTAACTTTTGATACTGTGAAGGCATTTGCACTCTGGTACTTTCTGTGTAATGTAAAATATATAATGTTAGACAGAGTTATGTCTGATGCACATCAAGGTCAATCTTGAACAGATTGCTCACCCATGGGACTGAAGTCCATTTTTATATGATTTAATAAAGAAGTCTTTTCTGCCCTGTCTTGTGACATCCACCCAGCCTCCATCATTGTCAATGACACCGTAATGAATGCCTGCCCGGCAAATACTGGATTGCTGAGGGCAAAGATATTGTTTGCATTAAGCGTTGAGACTACACATCACATTATACACTTAAAAAAAATGTTTAAATGTTGCCATGTTTACCATGTCATAATATACAGTTCCAACCACTTTCACCATGCTGTCCAAACAACCAGCCGGACACTCGTACCTTTAAAGAAAAAAAAGAAGATATTTGCAAAGTTCAACTGTGAAAACTGGAGAGAGAAATTTCAAAAAGGAAAAACAATGGCAATGCTTCATTTTGATGATTCCCTTTAGACTATAAGTTACTTTGTAAATGTAATTTTATAATGTAAAACACATGAACTTTAATGACATTGTGGCATGATTAAGATAAAAAAATCTTAATCCCTAGGGTTTAAAATGGAATTGGTCCTCGGTTTGCAGCTATAACAGTTTTAACCCTTTTGGAAAAGCTTACTATAAGGCTTAGGAGTGTGTTTTCATGGAAAATTTTGAATAGTCTTCTAAAGCTCATTTGTGAAGTCAGGCACTGATGTTGGACCAGAAGGCATCGTAGTCTCCATTCTAATTCATACCAATGGGGTTCTGTCGGGTTGAGCTCAGGACTCTGTGCAGGCCAGTTAAATTCCTCCACATTAAATGCAGTCATCCCAGTCTTTATGGTCCTTGATTTGTGCACTGGTGTGTAGCCATGTTGAAACAAGATTTCCCACAAAGTTGAGAGCATGAAATTGTCCAAAAATGTCATGGTATGTTAAAATATTAAGACGTCCTTTGACTGGAACTAAGGGGCTAAACCTAACCCATCAAAAACAACCCTGTACCATAATTCCCACTTTGCCAAACTTTACATTTGGCATGATGCAGTCAGGCAAATATGGTTATCCTGGTTTAGCCACCACCAAACCAAAACATCAGATTGCCATATGGGAACATGATTCGTCATGAATAGGGAATATGTGTCTACAGTGACTGCATGTGATACTTTTCATTATACTCTAAATAAGGCCTGGATGCAGCTACTGTTCTGTAGCTTTTGTTTCCAATTACTTCAATTTTGTTTTAATACCACAGTTGACCAATATCTAGAAGACAGAAAAATGTCACAAATGCACTTATTGCATTCTTGGCAACTTGCAGTCTCATGGCACCACACTTAAATTCACTGTGCTCATGAGACCAATCCATTCTTTCACAAATATTTGTACAAGCTGCCTACATGCCAAGGTGCTAGATTGAATACTTCTGTGGCCAATCTAGCAACTGGAACACCTGCATTCAATGATTTGAAGGGGTGTTCTAAAACCTTTGGCAAGATAGTGAACCTCCATTAGGTACATTATCAGTAAACTGTCTAGTTAATATCATCCAACATTTTAGACACCCTGCTGATTAACTTTTAAAAGATCTCTAGACCCTGCATTTTAATTTTGTCCATTCTACTGGCCTGCTTTTGTTTATGTGACATCAGCTTATGTATTGTTTTTTAATCGGCCAAAATCCCTACCGATAGTTTGTCCGGGTTGCATCTGTTACTGGAGGGGCTGAGAGGGGTCTGTTGTCATTATACAGCCAATGTATCTATGGTTAGAGCGACCTCTAGAGGTGAAAATCATTGACAAAATGTTGACACCTGGTACGGCATGCTGCACAGAGCATGCCTGAAGAGATCAAGGTGTATGGACAGCATTGACATTTGAGAGGATTGTTTAAAACACACAGTAAAACTGTATATATACAGTAAACTAAAGTACACGTTTTCATGTCTACATAGTAAATACACTTTATTAGGTACACCTTAGAACCGGGTTGGACCCCCTTTTGCCTTCAGAACTGCCTTAATTCTTTAAGTTCAAATACATGACAGCATCACACAGTTGCTGCAGATTTATCGGCTGCACATCCATAATGTGAATCTCATGTTCCACCACATTCAAAAGGTGCTCTATTGTATTGAGTTCTAGTGACTGTGGAGGCTATTTGAGTACTAATTGTCAAGTTCAAGAAACCAGTCAGAGATGATTTGCACTTTATGACATCCAATGACATCCATGGGTCCAAAGTTTGACAGGAAAATATCCCCCACACCATTACAACACCACCACCAGCCTGAATATTTGATATAAGGCAGGATTGATCCATGCTTTCATGTTGTTGATGCCAAATTCTGACCCTACCATCCAAAGACTGCAGCAGAAATTGAGACTCATCAGACCAGGCAACATTTACCCAATCTTCTGTTGTCCAATATTGGTGAGCCTGTGCAAATTGTAGCCTCAGTTTCCTGTTCTTAGCTGACAGGAGTGGCACCCGGTGTGGTCTTCTGCTGCTGTAGCCCATCCACCTCAAGTTTTGACATGTTGTGCGTTCAGAGATGCTCTTCTGCGTATCTCGGATGTAACAAGTGGTTATTTGAGTTACTGCTGCCTTTCTATCAACGCAAACCAGTCTGGCCATTCTCCTTTGAAATCTGGCATCAACAATCTGGAGCAGCTGTGCGATGCTATCATGTCAATATGGACCAAATTCTGAGAAGAATATTTCCAGTACCTTGTTGAATCTATGCCAGGAAGGATTAAGGCAGTTCTGAAGGCAAAAGGGGGTCCAACCCGGTATAAGTAAGGTGTACCTTTTTCCATTCAAAATGCATTCTATTTGAAACTCACAGTGTGAATTCCCTTATAGTAAATACAAATAGTAGCCAGAAATTATACATATCATGAAAAAAGGCTTTTATGGCATGTTTATTTAAAAGAAAAACGTTGTCTCACCTATTGCATGTGGTGCCTTTACACTGGTCTCTTAGCTTTGTGTCACATGTCACAGTCTGGGCTGCACAACAAAGCAAAGAAGAAACACAGGTGGTTCATTTATGTTTAGACAGGCTGTATAGTTTAGCGGGGCTGCAGAAACGCACAGCTCTGTTCCTGCAGTTTTGTAAAAGCAAGCTGTGGAATTCCAGCAGGAGCTCATGGTGGCCAGCAGCAGGAGATCTCAGTTTTCAGTCCAAACCCCCTTTCAGCAAAGGAAGCAATTTAAAACCCACAAGTATTCATCGTCCCTAAAGCAAACACACTCAGCAGGGAGATCACCATTATGAGAAGAAAAAAAAAACTCCCTACTGCACAAAGTGACTTGTAACATTAAATGTACGTTTGAAAAAGGAGACAACGTATTGACAAATCCATGCATGGTGATCATCAAAACAATCTGAGTTAAACAGAACAGAATGTTCTTGGAAAATGTATATATATATATATATATATATATATATTTGAGATGAAAAAGCAACAACAATTGTAATTTTTAGAATGATCCTGCACAGTATAACCAGTTAACCATCACTTACACATCTGTTCTTTGCTCACAACTGCATTTGGGTGTCTGGTTGGACTTGGGGGCCGTAAACGGGGCCCAGGGCTGTGAGGGGCCTCTGGTTCTATTGAATTTCTTTCATGTGTTTCCTCACTTGGGCTTTGCCTATTTTTTCCATCACCTGAAAGTGAAACAAAAAAGGTACTTTAATTTGCCTGGATTGAGCAATCCATAGCAATTACACATTAATAGTTGTATACAATATATGTATATTTCATGTACATTTTATACAATATATGTGTATGTACTGTTATATGTTTTTTTTTTAGGATTTGATAAATGGAAAGCATGCAATGCAGCATTTTTTTAAACTTATACATTATGTGTGTACATTAATGATAAAATTGACCAGTTTAACAGTTCGGCATAATAATCATCTGTTCAAATAAAGAACAATAACCATAAAGGCAACTATTTCTATTTTTATATACCCATGTGCACAATGTAATTCTATTCATCATAGTTTTGTTATGTGCCACCTTAAATGCTGCAGCACTTTTTAAGCAGCATGGATTTAGTCTTTAGCCCCTTTCACACAGTGATACCAGTAACGATTTTACCGGTAAATTCAAAAAAGCGCTGTTCACATCGGCAAGAACGTTCCAGAATTTTTTCAGGAAAGATCATTCACACATCCATTCTAAAATACTGGTAAATTCTGACATTAACCAGGAATGACCTCTAAACAGATGCACTTGTAATTGTAAACATAGAAGGGGTTATACTTTTGTTGATAGTTTCACTTTTCTTTAGAGCTCCTTTTGTCCCAGAGACATCCAAAGGCAGGAGCGTGAATCGCAGCTTAATGTTTGCACATTTTACCACATTACAAATTCTGTGGATGGATATATTTTGAACAACTTCAATAAAACCATATGGAGAGACAGTCTCGCATGTTGAGATGTACAAAATATATGTGTGGGCTGTTGCTCACTGGAGCACACCTTCACACGTCAAGCAATTGAAGCAGAGCTGAAACAAAGCTTGCAGGTAAACAAACAGCGGTTTTTCATAAGCATTTTTATATATTTTTTACATAGTTGGTATTAAGAAGGAACATAGAAATGCTATCTGCTTAACATCTAGCAGTTAAATATGTCTGGAAAAAATATTCAAAGGATTTTATTTTTATAAACAGCCAAGATGGCCTCGCTGCAGCCCACAGCTTGATGACGTAGGTGATCGTCAGCTACGTAGCAGACCCTGTACTGCCCATGCTACTGTGACGATTGGGTTTACGGTAGGGGAAGGTGTAGACGATCGTCAACTACGTAGCGGACATTGTAACACCCACTAATGTAAAGGCCATGCTACTGTGATGATTGAGTTTAGGGTAGGGGGAGGTGTAGGTGATTGTCAACTACACAGAGAACCTTGTATACCGTCCAATAAGGTAACACCCATGCTACTGTGATGGATGAGTTTAGGGTAGGGGGAGGTGTAGGTGATCGTCAACTACACAGAGAACCTTGTATACCGTCCAATAAGGTAACACCCATGCTACTGTGACGGTTGGGTTTAGGGTAGGAGGAGGTGTAGACCATTGTCAACTACATAGCAGATCTTGTACCACCCACTATGTTAATGCCCATGCTACTGTGGCAGTTGGGTTTAGGGTAGGGATAGGTGTAGGCGATCATCAAATACGTAGTGGACCTTGTACTGCCCACTAAGGTAGCACCCATGCTACTGTGATGGTTGGGTTTAGGGTAGGGGGAGGTGTACGCAAATGTCAACTATGTAGCGCACCTTGTACCGCCCACTAAGGTAACGCCAATGCTACTGTGATGGTTTGGTTTAGGGTAGGGAGAGGTGTAGGCGATCATTAACTATGCAGTGGACCTTGTACCGTCCACTAGGGTAATGCCTATGCTACTATGACGGTTGAGTTTAGGGTAGGGGGAGGTGTAGGCAATGCTCAACTATGTAGTGGACCTTGTACCACCCACTAAGGTAATGCCCATGCTACTATGACGGTTGGGTTTAAGGTAGAGGTGGAGGTGTTGGTTGGAGTAGATGTCTCACGTCAGTCCGTTCTAATCGTGAAGGTGCTCCTTTTGTCAATTTTCCTTCTGCACTCACACAGAGCAGCTTTCTGGCAAATTTCCAATAATGTTACAACTTATCTTTCCGAAGAATTGCCAGACCAAACTTATTTTTAAAAAGGGCGGTTTACACATGATCCCTTCTCAGAAAATTGCTGTTATTTTTCAGGAAAGGTCTGAATGTGTGAGAGGGGCTCACGTTTCATTGCTGTGTTAATTATGGAGCAGACTCATTCTTTCACATGTATGATCATTTTACATACTGTACAACTATAGTTTTCTTTATGTAAATTTATTTGCAAAATCAGACAAAGAAAAAAACTAATATACTGACCCAATCTTTTAAATGGTAGTTTGTATCTGTAAATAATGAAAGCTGCAGCTCTACAAACTCATACAAGAAACAACAAACCTTTATAACAGAGGTTTTCTCTGCACACTCCTCCATAGCTTGGTGGACACGCAGAGCAAGAGGTGCCGTGTTTATATGGGGCATATCCCCACCAGTTACCTCTACACAGGACAAAAACACACACACACACGCAGAGACAACACTGACAAGCTATCATCCTACAAATGACAGAGAACGAGTAAAGTATTGAATAATGAATGAAGAATCATAAATAAGTAACTCACTTTGGTGAGTAGTTGCACACAAGATAAACAGCTTTTGCCCAGATCTGGCCCCACACATTCATGTTGTAGCACACATTGATCGCACAGCCAATTCGACTACTTGTTGCCCAAACAAGCTGGAATTAATAAGGAAGCAAAACAACCATTACAATGACCTATATGAGATATTTAGGACAAGGAATTTGCTCAAGATTCAAATATTTTTACATGAGTAATCCATCTTGTCCATACAATGACCACAAGCTCAAAAAGAAAAAGAAGAAGAACAACAAAAGAAAGCACAGTACAAATACCATCTGAAATCCTAAAATAGCTTTGAGTGAGAAATGTTGAACTTATACTGTCATACAACGTATTGTGGTTCATTTTGAAGTCACTTTTACAAGATTTGGATAATTGTAAATGAGATACATCAGCTACATTTATTTTGGATCTCAAGCTAAGATGATGGTCATTATTGAGCATTATAGTATGACTTTTATGTGAGGATTCCCTAGACTCTGCCATTTTGGGCAACTCAGGCTTATTCTGAAAACATACCTCTATATTAATTTCTGCAGAGCACCAAATACATCCCAGGAGCTACTTTTTTTGCAGTTTTTGTTTTTACAAATCCACCAGGTGTCGCTGTCTATGCTTTTTTAGATCTCAAATTTACCATATTCTCACCCAGTTATTTACCTGTTTTATTTTTTAGATTCTGTTTTTGTCTTACCTGCTTTATGGAACCATTTTTTGCCGGACTCAAACCCCATTTTCTTGGTCATGTACATGGTAAGCTAACTGGACAAATTGGTAACAACGGGAAAGCTGTCCATATGGAGGCAATCGATCAGCTGATAAGCATCATTATACCGTTCGTTTTAAAGACTAAATGCAGCAATACGTACTTCTGGCTACATAATTTGTGGTCTTTAGAATTGTATTTAGGGCTTTGTTTTCAGAATTAGCCTGTGTTGGATATTTAGAACAAGGAATTTGCTCAATATTCAAGTGTTTTTGCATAGGCAATCCTTCTTGTCCGTACAATAACCACAAGCTCAAAAAGAAATAAAAGAATAACAACAACAACAACAGAAAGCAAAAGCACTCAGCCTTCTGTAATCATAAAATAGCTTTGAGTGAGAAATATATTGAATTTAAACTGTCATACAACTTAATGTTGTTCATTTTGATATCACTTTCACAAGACTTGGAAAATTGTATTTCCTTGCTTTACAAATGTTTAGAACAGGTGAAAAGTCCATCTGTGGAGAACAATAAATCAGCTTGGGAAGAAGAACTTGCAGTAGAAATTCCAAGTGAAATTTGGGAACAAAGTTTTAAACTGGTTCACAGATCTTCCATTAATGCATGGCATTGTCTCATTCAGTTTAAAGTGCTTCATTAGCTTTATTATTCCAAGTGTAAATTAAAAAAAATATTTCCAGTGTCTCCATTGTGTGACAAATTTAAGTTTTTAGATTCCAACCTGTATAATTTTTATGTTACGTGTCCCAAATTACAGAGTTTCTGGAACAAAATATTTCAGGTTTTTTTTTCAGATACATTAAACATTCTGATTGAACCAGACCCTAGATTAATTATATTTTGAGTTTCCTAAGAATTTTTGAGACTTACAAACAACAACATTTGTTTTATGTGTGTTAATCTCTGCCAAAATCGTACGGTCAGTCCCCTTTTTTTTCCATTTCTACAAACTTTTTACTATGCCTCTAGTACCTACTTTTACCATTAGATAGCACTGGTGGGTGGTTGGTGTCACGGTTGCAGGTTTGTGCACTTTTCTGAAGTGTCTGTTTGGTCACGTGGGTTTGTTTTGTTTTGGTTGTCCACGTGTGTTAATTATGGTCATGTGTCATTACGGAACTCAGCTGGTTTGATTAGCTGAGGCTCATTATCATGACTATATCTGGGCGACGTTTCTATGTTTCTTTGTCAGTTCGTTGTCTTTGCTTATGTATGTCTGTTTGTACTCAGGACTGTGAGGAGTACCTGCTGGATCCCGTTCGACTGTCTATTTCCTGCCCTGTGTCCTCCGTTGTCCTTTGTTTTCACATCCTCTGTTGGGTTATTTTGACTTTGTTAATAAACTCATTACTTGCTGTTTGGATCTCTCCAAGAATCTTTATTGTGACAGTTGGTTGGGGGAATGCATGTTTATTTATTTATTTTTTGTTTTGTTTTTTTGTAATTGATTGTTTTGTTTTTGTTTTTTTTTCTCTCTCCTTTTCTAAATGTCTAATTATTAAAATGTAAGTTTTATGTTTATATTTAAAAAAAGTGTTTATTATAAAAATATTTTAACCAGACTTGGAAAATTGTGAATGAGATAGATCAACTACATTATTATTATTAATATTATTATTATTATTATGCATCCTAAGATGATGGTCACTATTGAGTTGGGAATAATTGTATGACATTTTTATGAGAATTCCCTAGTCTCCATTTGCCATTTGGGGACACTGCTAACTTAGTAGAAATAGAAATGCTTAGCTAAATTTGTGAGGTCCCCAACGCTTTTTAGTTTTCAATATACTACTGCATCATTCGAAGTCACTACAATTGCCTTCTAACATCTATAACTCCTTGTCAAAACACACAGATATATTGGCTCTTCAATTGTTCCCTGGTAACACACTGATGCGGTTTAATGCTTTCCTCTATGTTGTTTTCCTGGTTGGATTTCAGACAATTAAAAAAAATAAAAAAATCGCTGCAGCGGAAGAGCTGACAACCAGAACGGGGGCATGTGTAACACTGCTATTACAATAAATTTTCTGTGTTCCCATAAATTTCACAATTGTTTTCAGATCTGTCAACTCCATCAAAGAGTTTCCACCTACTGTAAATACAGCTTACGATGCATTTTCTAGTCATTATATCTACCTGAGTGTAGTGGGTGCAAACTGGACCACTGCACCTAAAAGGGCAGTGAGGGTTACATTCTTGGGGGTATGGAAATGAGTAGTCTTTGACTTCATCGTACCAGGCTTGTACATGAGAAGTAGGTGGTCGATACCTGGGGTAAGAATTAAAACAAGAATAGTTAGTAAACTCATTATTTGCAATGTTCAATGCAAAATAAAGCCAATGTTTAGATTGAAGCAAAAATATACACATACTGTAGTCTTAATAAGCACCTTTGTTCAGTTGTCAGTGCATTGATCAGGTTGCCAGCCATTTCAAGTGCTGTCTTAAACTGAAAATTATTTTAGTGAACTGAAACGTTCAAACCCATCAAAATCAGGGTGCATCAATTAAGGCATGGGATGTTAACCAGTTTCAAGGTTTATTGTGTTTTGGAAAAGCTTTTTAGAAAAGCAAGTTTTTAAAACTGCAAAATGTTTCTATTATACTATTCCTAAGGTATATGTGATGTTTTTCTAAATGTGTTGTAAAGAAAATCTGTGTTTTTGAAACTAAAGAAAACCGCAGAAGTCAGTGATTTATTTGAATTATTATTTAGCCTGTTTACTCTTCCGAAATATTTGAAATTCATTCATTCATTTTCTTTTTGGCTTAGCCCTTTTATTTATCAGGGATCGCCAAAGCAGAATGAACCACCAACTTATCCAGCACATGTTTAACGCAGCGGATGCTCTTCCAACCCCATCTTCCAACCCATCACTGGAAAACACCCATACACACTCAATCACACACATACACTACGGCCAATTTTGCCTACCAAATTCACCTATACCACATGTCTTTGGACTTTTGGGGGAAACCGAACATGAACACGGGGAAAACATGCAAACTCCACACAGAAATGCCAACTGACCCAGCCGAGGCTCAAACCAGCGACCTTCTTGCTGTGCTACCCATTTCGCCACCATGTTGCCCCAAAATATTTGAAATGTCTCCTAAAATAAAATTAATTGTGTTCAAGTTGTTATTGTTTTTTACTCAGACATTTAAAAAATAACTTATTTTAGAGCAATAATCACAATACTGTGATTCCGAAATATTTTTATCCAAGGATACCATACCATCAGAAACTTATACTGGTCCATGCTTACATCAATATGCACTGTTTGCCCTTAAAAGAAGTTTGAAAGCAAGAAATATACGTGACCCAAATCATCAAATGTAATGACAAACAAGAGACGTTTTTCTAAAAAAGAATTAGTTATTTACTGATTTTTCACATGAACAAGCATAGCTAGACAAGTTATGAAAAATCTAGCAAGCATTTATAATTGTTTAATGCTTGAAATGTTGCTGGTATATGAAGCAATCTAATTATTTATCTTTAATGTACTTTTTAAAACTTTGTTTGCATGTTCTCCCAGTGTTCGCGTGGGTTTCCTTCGGGTGCTTGGGTTTTCCCTTCAAGTCCAAAGACATGTGGTATAGGTAAATTGGGTAGGCTAAATTGTCTATAGTGTATGTGTGTAAATGAGCGTGTATGGATGTTTCCCAGTGATGGGTTGCAGCTGGAAGGGCATCCGCTGTGTAAAACATATGCTGGATAGGTTGGCAGTTCATTCTGTTGTGGCGACCCCAGATTGATAAAGGGACTAAGCTGAAAAAAATAAATGAATGAATGAATGAAAATAGTAAGTTCTACTGTTGTTTACAAACTCCAGTTTTGATGATTTACAATGAGAACATTCTCATGTCACTCTCAGTGTGTTCCAATGTGTAGTGAACCAAGCTCACCACTGTCCTTACCAGTGCCTGAATTTGTGCACATGACCTACTGATGAACAACCTTGGGAGCAAGAGTACTGATTGAAATACAGCAATAGTTTTGCATAGCCCAGCCAATAACAAAAACATTGAGTAGCACAACTGTTTTCAACATTGATAATAAATGTTTTTTGAGTGCAAAAACAACCTAAAAATTTTGACTGGAGGATCATGTGACACTAAAGCCTGAAATAATGACGCTAAGAAAATTCATTAATTCATTTTCTTTTCGGCACCAAGCCTTTATTTATCAGGGGTCGCCACAACGGAACAAACCGACAACCCATCAAGCACATGTTTTACGCAGTGGATGCTCAGCGGACACAAACACTATAGCCAATTTAGTTTATTCAATACACCTACAGCACAATAGAAAGTAGAACACTTCTATCAATAGAAACCTAATTACATAACAGTTATAATGGACAGCAGAATACTTTGCTATTTGCTATATGCAGATTGCTATTGTATAAGACAACAAAACAGACCTTCCCCAGTGAACTCCGAGGTTCTGACCAATCTGAGGCAGCAGGCCTGCTGGTCCATGCTCCCAGAGGCAGGTCTCGGCCCATTCCTCAGCACTCCGCTCCAGTTCATTGTCCCACACCTACAAGAAATACACTCAGAGGACTGAGAATCAGATGGAAACTGGTGGCCGGTACAGCATTACTGAAACAAAGCTATTAAACCCTTAATCTTAAGTATGTATGGTTGTGATAATACCCTGGTTGTGAAAAGGTGGTTACCAGAAAAAAAGGATTTGGTCCGGTTAAATAGTACTTAGAAGCTGTTGGAGTTAGTGAGCTGATTTAAGTGACTGACAACATTTACATTGTAATCTGCATTCATTTTTTTTCCACATTTTCATTTTTAAAAAAAGTACATACCAACACCAGGATACTTATGAGCTAGTTGGATAACAACTGAAAGAAAAGATGTGAAAGTTAACCATGATTTTTTATTTTAACCATGTGTTTTAGTACAATGTATTGAATATAAATATCTTGTTTTGATGTGCTTTTTACAGCACTTCCCACAATGGTCATGTCTGGCTAGATGGTCTTTTGTGGCTGTTTAAATGCATTTGGCCACATGAGTATGTACACTACAAAAATATGTTATATTTTATATTTTGTTTACCTGTATTTAGTGTTATTCCCTTATGAAGGATAGACGAAAACATGTTTTAATCTTTAAAAAAAACCTTTGTTTGATTTCATCATGTCTATCACACTCAAGTGACACCCCTTTCACCCTTTGCTGAACCCCTTCCCTGCCCACCATTCTTAAACATTTACAAGTGCACAAGTGGGTTTCATAAATGGAATATTACAAAAGAATTAGCAAAAGTTAAAGTACTTTGATTTGAATGTGTACTAGAGAGTAGAGGTAGCTATTTGCGCAGACAAGGTGCACAGATGTATGAATCTACAAATGTTAACAGACAGTTTGGGCTGCCTATTGTGATGTTCAGCCCAATTATTTTGATTGGACGAGCATTTTCTTTGTACAACACCTTAAAAATACTTAAATACATTCCAATCACTTAATTTAATCATTACTAATGTAATATCAAGAGACTTTCAACCAGCACAATACCCTACCGCAACTTTAATATCTGATATACTTTATTCTGATAGTCTCCCACCAAGTACTTTTTACTTACTTTGCAAACACCCTGCAATAAATTGTAACCACTGTTTTTTCAGACATAGCCCTCTTTCGATACAACAAATGCATGCAGGCTGTAGAAAGATCCAGGTTTATTTCTGGTTTATTTTTCTTCTGCACCAAGTCAAAAAGGCACAATGAGTTTTTTGGATCCAGTAATGTTCTCCATATGCCTTTGTTTCTCAATCTGTCTTCTGTAGTTCCTGTTCTGTGTTGTTGGTTTTCGTTCTGAACTACACCATTCAAGGCCACTCAACACTAAAGAGTTTTTTCCTGTCCAGCTGACCCACATTTTGGCTGTTTAATAAAAACATTTCATTTTGGAAAAGCAAAATGGCGCTTTCACCTTGAAGGGAAAGTATACAGAACTCAAGGTTAGACATAAATCCGAGGCAGAATTGTGGCAGGGGTGACGGGGGAGTTATCTGCCCTGTCACTGCCCATACATGTAACACTTTTTCCCTGGGAAGTCCCAAAGCACAGTCCAGCGGTAAATCTGGCCCAATAAGGTCCCCAAAATAGCTGAAACAATTGCCTGAGACATTAATCCTTGAAGTGAGCACCTGCCAACAGGACGTCTGCTTGGTTTTCTAAGCCACCCATCAAAATGGGCTTTTATACTGAATTACAGGAATATTCCACAATCAATACAAGTATCACTCAATCAAGAGCATCTGTGCAGAAATGCTGCTTACCACAAAAAGACTCTCAACTCATCTCTCATTTTCTGTTAGACAAAAGTACATTCAAAAGACTTACAAAGGAAGTGGATGGGCCCATTCTTTTTTTATTATTTTTTTTTTTTTTAATTCCAAAAAATAAGTCCAAAAATAAATGTTTACATAGAAAAGTTTATTATTATTGTACTATTTTATTAATAATTAAATTAATAAAAATAAGAATCTATATCAAGCACATTTCATACAATAATCTAACATAAAATGTTTTGCATAATTTGGGTACAACTATTTCACAATAAAATAGCAAAATCGATTTAAGATTAACCAAAGGGCCAACCATGTAATAAAAACAGGAAATTAAAATAAAGAAATGGTTACTTAACTAGAAATAAATATAAAATAAATAAATAAAAATCTTAATCACTAAAATTAAATGCCTTGTTGCCAGTTGTGGTTCAGGTCAGAATAGCTTGTGAGATTTTTTAAGGCACACTATCACAGCTTTCTCTAACATCTAAAAATCATTAGATCATTGACATGGTCACTGTGAAGTGTTACTGTATTAAGTGTTACTGAATTAAGGACATTTTGTTGAAGTTTTCATGGTTTTAGCTTTAGTTATAAGTATTATACTGTCAGCACATACTGTATATTATAGGTGTCTACAGTTGAATCAGTGAGCATTTGATGGATTGATACCATTTACTCAATATAAGTGCCTCACTGGAACCAAGAATATGCTTTTTTTCCAGATAAAAGAAGGACTAATTAAAATGATTTATTCTAGTAATACATTATAATGAAAGTGTTGTCAAATGAGCTTAGCTTTCTTAATAGAATATTTATAAACAAATACTGTAAATGCATGTTTTGACCCGCTTAATGCCAGTTTAGCCAATTATATTTCAGCACTGCGGGTTGCCTTGTTGGAAAACCACATATATTATTCATTCAATCATTCATTCATTCAGAAAGGCTCTTAAAGTATGTGTCTGTGACCGAAATGCAACCTCCGGTGGACAGTAGCAAACTCCAAAATGAGACACAAATTCAGAGTTCCACATTAGGTGGTTAATCATTAGCAAATAATATAAATTTATGGATGTAAACATTAGGTGGACAAGTTACATTGTAACCCTGTGTCATAACAACACACTATGTGATGAGAAACTCAGTTATAAGCAATTTGGCTGTTTGCACCAGACGAAACACAACCGAAAATTAAATACAGCCATTTAGAAAGACAGAATATGCACTCACTCAAGAATAGGTAAGGTTTACAGTCTAATTAATACATATTAAACTTCTTCAACATTATTAAATGTTCATGCAGAATTATTGATATGCGTTTGTTTTGAGTAAATTTCAATTTCAAGCGGTTTATTTCATTTTCAAGATCTGAGGTGAACTATCTGCAGCTGCTTTCTATTGTATGGCAATTTGAATTTGTGTCTCAAAAATGGCATTCAAACTCACTTTATTTCCATTTAGCAGTGAATAAAGCACATTATATGTACCTCAGGTGATAATAGTCAGTTTTCTGTTGTTCATTTGCAAGAAATAGAAGCCGTTTCTAATATATCAATTTGTGTTGGTTAGAACAAAAAACACCTTTTAATATGAAAATATTGACACGAGAATACAATTTAAATCACCCTTTAGGTTTTAAAGGGTTTTACCTGCGCTTGCATGTGTTTTGATCCAGGAATGCAATACCTAGTTCAACCACTGGTTCTCAAACTTACAGACTGCACCTTTAATGGTCTAAAATAGAATCTCAAATAGCACTAATTGCACATTTCTAGCATATGTCTATATCCTGGAAAATATGTAACCTCCAAAAAAAAAAAAAAAAAAAAAAAAAAGGTAAACTGATTCTGTTTGTACAGCGTCCTCAGTGTGGAGGCCCCAAAGAATCTAACCGCACTCAGACAGGACCAGTGAAGGAAAACATGTCCAATCAGTGCAGACACTCACACTCTTTCACACATCATTGTTTACTTCATTGAACACCTCATCAGCTGCACGTTTTTTTGTCATATGGTCACATTTTGAAAATTTGAAAATTTCCAATCTCCCTCAGGAGCAGTTTTTTTTTTTCTGTTGAGAGCTAAAAGAGCCACAGTAAAAGTATTCAAGCGAGACACTGCAGGCAAAAAGTGTTTTTCACATGTACCTCTCAGTTTTAAGATTATAGGTCGTTTGCTGAGCTTAAATAGTCTTCCCTAAATAATTATCATTCTGTTTTAGTCTGTAGATTTCAAATACATATTTTACATTACTTCAGAATTAGTTTTTTTTTCAACCCAGGTTAATTCTGAAAACATACCACTATATACATTTCAGGAGAGCGGCAAATTCTGCACAGGAGCTATGTTTTTTTGCAGTTTCTGTTTTCTCGAATCTACCAGAGGCCACTGTGCACACTTTTTGAGATCTTAAATTTCTTTTGCGAGTGCCCTTCGCACCTGCTGTTCTCGTGTAAATCTATCAGACGCTGCTGTCAACTGACTGACCAATTGACTGAATCACCCTCCTCCTTTCCTAAACCCAACCGATAGTGTTTTCAAAAGCACCGATTGAACTCCTGCTCTCAACCATAAATCTCCTCTTTAGCAGCATCATGAACACCAGACTCCAAGGTTCAGTTTCATATAAATGTTTTATTCCGTCACACTTTATTTTAAAGCACAATTCTCACTGGCAAACGATTACTTTTTAACTTCTAATTTGTTGCTTGTTAGTAGTTATTAAAGTAATTGCTAGGTATTAGGTACAAAGAACAAGATCATTCAGAAGGTAATAGGCCACCAAGTTAATACTGAGAGTTTGTCTCTATATGTGTTTCCTTTTATTCTACCAAAACAGTTGTTGTTGTTTTTTTGTTTGTTTGTTTGTTTGTTTGTTTGTTTTTTTGTGGGAAAAAAAATCTCTCAAAAATCTCCTTTGACTTAATTATGCCTAAAAACTAAACCAGACTTAAATCCTAAATCTGATATCATGCACTGTTCATATTGTTGTTTTGTACATGTATGCAAATCCCTCATGTGCAAATTTAAAGGGGTGGTCCACAGTTTATTTTTAAGGTTTGGTTGTGTTTATAAGATGCAAAGCAATGTGTGCCCATGCTTTATTTGTAGAAAATCACATTATTTTTCATGTACTTTGTCACAAACTTGGATGCTTGCAACAACACCTTTGGAGCTGTAGTTAGAAACATAGTTCCTGGCTGTGTTCTATTATCCACCTTTGCCCT